GGAGGAGCCGCCGGCGCCCGGCCCACGCCTGCCCCATGCCAGCCCCTCTCCTCGCTCCCGCTGCTCCCTGCCCCTCTCCCACTCCTGCCCAAAGTGCATGGCTCTGCGGAGCGGAAGAGGCTCAGGAGAAAGAGCAGCACAACCTACACAAAACACCTTAATTAGGAGCTTGATTACGTGGTGGCGTTTAGGGAAATGTCCACAGGCTGGGAGGGGCTCACAGCCCTGGGCCAGGGGAGCGCCTGGGCCCAGCTGTGCCTGGGGCAGGCAGACACTGGAAGCAGCCGCCAGTGAAGCGAAGCCCCATTCCTTCAGCCACCGAGAAGCTGCCTCCGAGATGGCGGAGCTGATGTTAAAAAGCTCTGCCCGGGAGGTGCCACGCTCCCTTTGGGAGGGGTGAGGTGCCAGCCTGCAGGGCGGCAGCCCACGGAGCGGGGGACAGGCTGCGCTCGGCCGAGCCCTGGCAGGTCCTGGGGCACCATGAGAAAAAAAAGAGCACGTTCAAGTCATGGAAGTGGGGGGAACCCCTGGTCCCTGGTGCCAGCAGCAGCGATGCCGGCACTGCCTGCGCTGGCAGAGCTTCCCGGCTGGCCAGGCACAGGCAGCACCACTCCTCCTGGCCTGCACAGGGCTCCGTTTGCCACCAGCCAAGATTTTATTTTTGTAAAATGGCTATTTTCAAGCAGCAGCCGTAATCTAATTAAGTATCAATCAGGGAAGGCCACACGTGCCCAGCCGGACCCAGGCGAGGGGCGGCGGTGACAAGCCGCACGAGACAGAACGTGTTTGCTGGCTCGGCTCCGGCCGCAGGCACGGGCCCCTCCGCCAGGAGCCCGTGGCGTGGTAAGAAGCCAGCTGTGTCGCAGCTACGTTTGCATCCACCTATAGGTAGGGCTATAAAATACCAACGGGATCAAAGGCCCCTCCACAGGCACTGCGAACGCCCTGGGTGCTGCGGGTAACGCACCTGCCCTGTTGGATTTTGCCAACGGGGACTGGCCAGGTCCTGGCCAAGCCACCCCCGGGGGCCCTCCCGGGAAGCTGTGTTGTGACGAGGCCCCCGGTGACACCCGGGCAAATACGCTGCAAGAAGCTGTGCAGGACTGCACTGCAAGCGAGTGAAAGCCGAGTGCCTTTCCCTGCCCATTACAAGCCCCAGCAGAAAGAGTGGTGTGGATTATTGCTTAGAGAACAGCGCGCTCATTCTAAATTTCATTTAAAAACTATCCAACTTGGAGAGCTTCTACGCAATACATCTCTCCACTTTGAAAAGCATTGTGCAGCTGAGAATACACAAATAATAGGGAGAAGGTTATAAACACCTTTTCTCCTATCCGCATATTTTATTGTGCAAATCTTCCCCTCCCCCAGTCCTATTCCAAACACTATTTTTAATTTGCATGCCTTTATAAACCCCATACGGAGTACAGAGAATTTGCATAACATCCAATACATTATAGATTAGCTTTCACAACATGATACAGTATTGGGAAATGAGGAGGCTTAACATGCTAATTAGGATGCTTTATTTTTTTTTAAAGCCAAGATTGCCGTTAATTGCGCAAACGCAACTGCCAAAAAAAAAAGTAGTAAACTAAAATTATCTTAACTAAACAGATGGGAATTTGCCTAAACTGGGGTTTTCACCATAGTTTGTCATGGCCCTGTTTGTCAGGTGAGGTACTGCAATACCTCAGCCCAGGTAGGAAAGCGGTGATTTGCTCTGTCCATCTGTCCTGGCACGAGGAGCAGAGCGGGACGGGCAGACGAGTGCCTAGGAGTTGCCACACGCTTCAGGCCCACTGACCCTTTGCCGGCGGAGCCGTCACCGTGCCGGGGTGCTCCCGGGCCGGGGGGGGCTGTACGCCGTCCCGCCTGGTGTGGGGGCTGACTGCGGGCGGCTGGTACGGATGGGCAGGTTGTGTGAGGAGGGACTGGCGGAGGAAAGTCTGGCACCAAGCAGTGGCTGGTGCTTGTCCTCCCCTGCTGTGGCCTGTCCCGTCCCCCCCCCAGCACTCAGAGGACCTGGAGGTTTGCCTGGGGGGGCTCCCGGCCCCCCTTGGCTCTGCTATTTTGCTGGCCCGAGCACTGGGATGAACAGCGCGCACCTGAGCGAAGCAGCCCTCTCAGTGCCCTAGGAAAGGCACTGATTTGTGCTTCACAGATGGAGCACAAGACGCAGCTTGTTTGATCAAAGTCCTACGGAACTATTTTACCTGCTTCCAGGAAATTAATCCCCAGACCTCTTCATGGACGAGCTGCTTGCCCGTGCAGCAGGACTTGAGTGACCGGCAGGTGGGAGAAGGGCTGACGCCTCTGCACCCTGGTCTGGCGCCTCGCCCGCAGGGAGGCAATGTGAGCTGGTGCTCCCAAATTCCCAGGTTAAGTAACTACATCGAAAAGTGAGCCTGGCTGCTGGTACAATTTCCCACCGCTCATCTCCGAGTAGCTGTCTAGCCTTGTTCACTTTAACAGTCAGCGTCAGGCATGGCTCTGGCCACGATCCTGACGGAGGTGCAGAAGGGCACGTCTGGATCGTGGTGTTTTTCTCGCCAAGCGCTCAGCAGTGCACGTTGAATGCGAATCCTCCGCTCTGCACCTCACCTTGCAACGCCTGTCCCCAAAAAGGCCCTCGGGCAGTGCCAGCGCCCTGCCCACGCCCGCAGCTCGAAGGCCACCAAGTTGCAGAGGGTTTTGTTTGCTGTTACAGAGGGAAGCGCGGGGTTCTCCTGGGAGCGAGGGCTGCAGGAAGAGGATTTTTCATAGCTTGCCCCGGCACTGTTTGTTCGAGGGGAGATTTTTGTAAATTGCCTTGGAGGCAGAGGAACAGACAGACTGAACGGCTCGCTGGGCCCCAGGGGGAGGCTGTGTCCCAGCTGCCCACCCACCTCCCCTGCCTGCCCCAATAAGCGGCTCAGAGGAGCATTTGCTCAGCTTCTGGGTCCCTCTCCCTCAGACTTCCATTTCCTCATCTTTTTCTTGGGATAATTTCGTGCTTTCCAGCTGCTTTTTTAATTAGGTTGCTGTTGTTGGGCTGTATAGGATATCCTATGAGGTCCTCGGCCCTTTCCCAGGTGGCTTCAGTTGTTTTTCCTCTGCCTTTAATTTATGACGGGATTCTTTTTCATCTCCCCCCATGTGGTTTCCAGCCCAGCTCTCTCGTAGTTTGGTTGTTTTTATCAAAGTAAAATGTTCAGAGGTTTGAGTTCTCTTTGGGCTTTCTTGTGCTCTGTACACTCAAGAAAACCAGCCGAGGCAATTAGGCTCAGGATGTCAGTGTTTCAGATGTCGTATGATGGTGTTCTTGGGCAGAAACTTGCAGTGGTTTTCTTCTTCACCGTATCAGAAAGGAATTTTGTTTGCTTGCTTGTGCTTTTCATCCAGGTGTAGTAGGTTTGGCTGCTCCAGGCTTAACCATGTGAGGATGGATCTGTTGGGCAGCTTTACCGAACCTTGCTAAGATTTTTTTTTTGCTGACATCTTACAGACAACTGGAAGACTCAAGTCTAGACAAACGGTACCAGGTGCTTCATACCGAATTGTATTGCCCCCAGTGGCAAATGAAGCCCTTTGCTATGGCTGATTTATTTAAGAGAGGCACGACGTTAAGGAGATCGGTGCCCATCTATTCTCACAGGCTTCACTTTATCAAACTCTGCTGCAAACGTGATTTTACACCTGGGACAGAGGTGGGTTTTATCGGTGTTTCAGCAGTTTGGCTTCTCTGCTCCCCTGTTAGGAGACCCCGCTCGGGTGCTGGAAGCATTACTGTCCCCTCTTCAGCCATCAGTTACTGCTACAAAACAAGGGGTGCCAGGCTTTTTCCAAATGCAGCGTGGCACCATCTCAAAGGGAACCTTCTCTTCCCTTTGCCTTGTGGCCCTGGGACCTCCTCCCTGCTGCATTTCCTCCCCTCTTGGCTGGGG